GCAATGATCCACAAGGTCTCCAAGCCTGCTACAGCTCACATTCCAGTTATTCCACATCACGGAGGAAGCAAACATCTGGATAAAGGCGTGTAACATACCAAGAACGTACTTGCAGATGCTCTCTCCTGAATACTGCACCCGTCACCTACGGAATGGATGCTCCATCCAGAAGCGTTCCGGCTCATCATAAGGGAAATAGGATCTCCTTGCATAGACCTGTTTGCCACGAGGTTCAACAAACAACTACAGACGTTTGCTGAGCTCCAGATCCTCAAGCCTGGGCAACAGATGCACTGAGCATATCTTGGGAAGGACTAAATGCTTACGCGTTTCCACCCCCGATATTACTTCCAGAAGTGCTGTTGAAGATCAAACAGACACAGGCGCTACAACTGACTTTGGTCGCGCCATACTGGCCAGCGAGAGTATGGTTCCTAGACCTAATAGAAGATATCGGAAGTCCAGCAATCAAGTTACAGATTGGCCGAACCTACTCATACATCCGCACACCAAGCAAGTCCACGGGAACCCGACAGTGTTCCAGCTACACGTGTGGACCGTATCAAAACATGTTTGAAGAAAAGAGGATACTCCGCCAGGGCAGCCAAGGCAGTAATGCTAGCGTTACGCAGATCTACTTGTAACCTGTATGATGACAAGTGGCTGAAGTTTGAGACTTATGCAAGGCGGAAAGGCTTCACTGCGGAAGTGGCGGAATATCTGTGTCATCTTAGACAGACCAGACATCTGAAATGTTCGATATTATCTACATACCTCTCCGCCATCAGTACAGTGATTACCATGAAAACAGGCATCAATTTGTCGAAAGTACCAGAATTACTTGCTCTGCTGAGATCTTTTAAACTGGAGGACCAGCAAAAGAAGTTCAGAGCTCCGGGCCTGGGATCTGAATGTAATTCTACGTCATCTTACGAGTGATGCCTACGAACCTCTAGACCAGACTATCCTCGAGCTGCTGACACAGAAGACTCTGTTCCTGCTTGCGTTAGCCACGGCAGCTCGAATATCAGAGATACATGCGCTGGATTTGACAGGGGGCAAAATGCTGCAGTTCATCTAGGACTTAGATGGGACTTCATTGCCAAGAACCAACTACCTGGTCAGCCAGATAGACAGTTCCACGTACCAGCGCTATCTACAATCCTCGGCCCAGAGGATATAGAAGACCTATCCTTGTGTCCGGTCAGAGCCCTGAAGATATATCTTCAAAAGACTGAGACAAGGAGACAAAAAAATTCAAATGCCTGTTCATCCCATTATCCACAGAGACATCAGCACAAGTCCCAAGAATGACGATATCATTCGGGATGAGAGCCGTCATATTGAGAGCCTATAAAGCAGCAGGACTAGAACCTCCTAGAGCTTCCAACCCACACGAAGTCAGAGCACTGGCGTCAACACTGGCTCTGCACGGAAATTGCTCTATACCAGCAATTATGGAGGGCTGCTTTTGGAAGTCGGACACAGTGTTTGCCAACCACTACCTCCGAGAGACATAGCCACTGAAGACGTCTCAGGCATTCACCAATTTGGGCCTCTCGTTGTAGCACAGCAACTAACGGTTCCTCAAAGGCGCTGAGTTGGAAAATCTCACCCTTTATCACGTTGACTTGTTGATAACTTTTACTAAGGAAAAAGTATTAGTTTGAAAGTCCATGCGCACAGTCTAGGACAGGCTAGCATGAGTGATTAAAGATCCTGTACGGGTAAAGATCTTACCTGTACGTGAAGGGGTCGCAACTCATTTATGATAAAGATCTTATCATAATCTATGGGTTGTTATGAGATATCTAGTAATAAGAAGATACTAGTTTATCTGTAACCACATGAATCAACAGGATTCAACTTGTCTGAGACTGAAGTAAGACAAGAAAGTAGTCCCCCCAAGTTATAACGGAAGTGGGAAGAATAGGATCACGGAAATGCCGTTTCGCAGTTTCACATGGGGGGGATACAGGACGTATCTAAGTACAGCTGATGAATCCACGAAGTGGCTTGACCCACCACCAATCTGTCGGATTCTATAAGCAAAAGATCATGAGTCAGGATAAGAAAAAATATGTAATTTTTCAAGTAAAATTGATATTTTTATACTTATCCTGACTCATGACGAGAAGCCCTCCCAGCCTCCCCACTGGAGACACTTTGGATTTCACAGCAGATCCAAGTGCATGGGCAGAAAATCAGGAGAGAGTGACAAGTAAGGCTGGTCACATGACTGTTTGTGCGGGAAAAGCGCCAAAGGGAGGTAACTAGTGGGTGAGTGTATTTTTACGTCCGCTTCGGGAACTTCAAGGTATTCAAGTGTTCCACTACCATTCAAAAAGGAAAGGGAGATAAGCAAAACATCATGAGTCAGGATAAGTATAAAAATATCAATTTTACTTGAAAAATTACATATTTTCTCTTTTTTAATTGATTACAATCCTTATCAAACCAAGGTGGTTGCTGTGAATGAGATTCTGGTGACTGTATCATGGGCTCCTGCTTTAACTGCACAGTGAATTAACCAATGATAGAAAACCATCTCTACTAGCTATCGCTAAATATTTGATAAAGGTAATTATATCTACTGGCCACATAAAGAAACTGTGCACACAGAAAATATAAATATAGGCACACAGCTTCTTTATACATAAATACATTTGTGAACATAGCACGTCTTGGAGACAATCAAACGCTCATGCACGTGACGGCCGACGTGACGTCACTGACGGTGGCCTATGGCCTTGCAATGTGTTACTGCACATGCAGCACGTGCAGCTGCACACAACATGTGAAACTTTGAAATTGCTGTCATTGTCGAAAGCTTGATCTTTGGTCATTCAAACGTTCACAAATTCACATGAGAAGTCACATGCACATCATGCCAAGATTAACATCTGCTCAACGTCATGAAGCCATTGGAATGATTCGAGCAGGAATGAGCCAACAACAGGTGGCAGCACCTTTCCAATGCCTTCAATGCTCATTTGGTAGCCTCTATGTGTCTTCGATGCACTGCAGTGCTTCACGCACACAGTGGTCATACCCGTTTTTGACTTTGTGACTTCGTCATGTGACCCCCTACTCGATTTTGAACTTCTGACGTCATCGTTACGGATATTGTTCATGTTCTTTTGACATTTTCTTGTGGTCCGATACTTCAGCTTATAAAGTGTCTACATCATTTCGTCTTTGCTGTGTTGTATTCCAAATCTGAAGGCATTTTCTGTGTGCACAGTTTCTTTATGTGGCTAGTATAGATTAATTGCATACACAACCTCAGAAATTTTACCGGGGGCAGGCGAAGCGGAAAAATCCCAGCGGAGCAAATACCACATTACCGCTCTCTGCTGTCTCGCTATAGCCCTGTCTGGCCGTGGTTATTTAACTAATGAGAATACCTCATGAAATAACAACTTATTTACATTGTGAAGGATCATCGTGAATTTGTTCCTTTGAAGTAAAGTCTTGCTTCTTTCTCATTGTATTCTGTGGGCCTAATCTGCTTTTGTGAGAAACAATTATTGTTTCAGTGTAATTCTGTGAAATAAGACTGATACAGTGTTTGGATGATATAGTTGGCAGTGATAATTATTTTATGACCCAGTTAATCTCCTCAAGTATTCCATTCTTTAAAGGTCACATGCAACCAAAAAATCAAACATAATTAAAACACAATTATCACTTCTTCATGACATATAATATGCATTGCTGATTATGAAAAAACAAATAAACAAAATTATAAGCGTATAATCGCAAATCAAAAGTGCAATATTTTGTACTTTGGTTTACCTCCCTCGAAACGAAGCAGCCGGATACCGAACCCAGTCAGAGCGGGTGGGTGTGCACTCAAGTGTAACGGCTGGTTCATTAGCAGATGCCGCCTTCACGGCTCATTGTGTGTGTATATATAGAGATGTTGGGTTTTGTAAATACATGCTCATTGTTTGTGTATAACATTTTGCAATCAACAGACATCATAACATGTCATGTGTTCAAGTATCACACCTGCCTGTCTGTGTAATTACATAATGTGACAGAGACCGAACTCGGGCCATAAATCAATGCATTTTGTTTATGGTGTATAGCCTGATTGGTGTTAAGTTCAAATTGCATGTGGTCAGTGATCGCAGTTATGTATTGAATATTGTCATTAGCAGACAGGCAGGCAGACACAAAGGTGTCAATAAAACAAGACATTGAGTTTTGTCTGTGACAGCGACATATCTATATCACAGTTAGAAATTGTGTCAACGCTAAATAATGACATTGCTTTTAAGTATCGAACTGAGAAAGTGACTCGGTAAGAAGAACGTGTGGTGAAATAGACAAATGAAATTACATAAACAGTTTATTTACTGTCATAACATATAAAAAAGCTCGCGCCTGTGAGATATCAACAAAACATTATGAAAATAGCTCACACCAAAGCCTTCACCGAGTATTCACCAGACAGCCCGCTTCCAAGATGCGCGAACCTATTTCACTGCGCACGTGCTATGAGCACAGCCCAGCTGTTGAAACCCGTATTCCCCAGAAAAGTCTGGGGAAAATTAGTGAAACGTTTGAACTCTGATTTCGCGCGGTTTTTTTCATCGCGTTATTTTTCAACTTTATAAGTTGAATTTGCATTTTTGACGCTTTGTTTCGGTAAGTCCTTACCGAAAGGTATCAGAATCTGCAAAGATGTGTTTTACGTTGCATGTGACCTTTAACATAACATGAATGCCAACATGAATGCCAGTTATGAATCAGAATTTCACTTCTTAGCTCACATGTTCTATTTCGTCTTGTTCTCTTGTGAAAGCTTTGATCTTGTCCCAGCCATCAGTCCTTCAATATTAGGGAAGCAGTGACACTATCATCAATGGTCACAAGCAGGAATATTAATTGTGATTTTCAAAATGCATTGGTGTAAATATACAAACTGCAGATGTCTTTGTAGACATGTTGTGATGTACTGGTACTGTATCCCGCCTGACTGACTGTTGCAGGGGAGATCAACAAGTGAGTTCCAGCAGGCAATGATCATACACAATGCTGGATCTGTTGGAAGTGAGTTCTGTCGGAATTTGACAGACGTGAACCAAGTATCTCACTACCTCAATGTGAATGTGGCCGGACTTGTTGCACTGAATGCTCAGTTTATGCAAGTGTTTAAAGATGTACCTTCTAAAGTGGTTGTCAACATGTCATCACTCTCTGCAGTGCAACCCATGGCCAGCTGGGGACTTTATTGTTCAGGTGAGTATAGTGGACGACCTATACACTCATGGAAAATAACTGAATATTGATTATGAATATGTAATGAAATATTGGTGGGTCAATGATATTATAGAGACTCTCACATACAGAGGGCCCTGTTCATTGACCCTGAGCAGAACAAATGTCAATGTCTTTCAGATTATGAGCTGATTATTGTAGCTGAATCTCAAATGTTATTTAGTGTATGATGCAGACACTGATATAGATAATATATTAACTGTGATTTATAGTACAGTGAGGTATGATAGGTTCATTAATGTGTAAAAGTATTCACAATAGATAATTGATATGCACATATGTACAAATTTATTATGTACTTATTGATGACTAAAATAAGTGGATGGATTAAGTTTTGTGAATTAATCAACTGTCTATGTTACCATTATCATGGAAAAATGTATGTAGTTAAGATCATTTACAAGGTTATATGCTATGAAATATTCTTGAATCAAAACTGTGAAAAAAGTCATTTCCGAACATGCCACTATTGAAATTGGGAATTTGGTGCAGAAGTTAGTAAGTGTGCCAAGTGCAAGAAAATGCACAAAAGGATTCTTCTTTTTAGTGGACATCAAGGCCATACCATCTTCTTTACTTACTTATCTTAAGAAATGTGAATAGGCTGAACACCAACAAGTAGACATCCTTTATATGTATGATCTTCCTGTGCCATGGAGGTATTTGAATTCACGCACATTACCACTGACCAGTTGCATGGCAGGGCTTGGGGTCCTGTTGACACCATCATGTTGATATGTTTCAGGCAAGGGTTGGGGTCCTGTTGACACCATCATATTGATATGTTTCAGGCAAGGCTTGGGGTCCTGTTTTTTACACCATCATGTTGATATGTTTCAGGCAGGGCTTGGGGTCCTGTTGACACCATCATGTTGATATGTTTCAGGCAAGGCTTGGGATCCTGTTGACACCATTGTGTTGACATGTTTCAGGCAAGGCTTGGGATCCTGTTGACACCATCGTGTTGACATGTTTCAGGCAAGGCTTGGGGTCCTGTTGACACCATCATGTTGATATGTTTCAGGCAAGGCTTGGGATCCTGTTGACACCATCGTGTTGACATGTTTCAGGCAGGGCTTGGGGTCCTGTTGACGCCATCATGTTGACATGTTTCAGGCAAGGCTTGGGGTCCTGTTGACACCATCGTGTTGACATGTTTCAGGCAAGGCTTGGGGTCCTGTTGACACCATCATGTTGATATGTTTCAGGCAGGGCTTGGGGTCCTGTTGACACCATCGTGTTAACATGTTTCAGGCAAGGCTTGGGGTCCTGTTGACACCATCATGTTGATATGTTTCAGGCAAGGCTTGGGGTCCTGTTGACATCATCATTTTGATATGTTTCAGGCAAGGGTTGGGATCCTGTTGACACCATCATTTTGATATGTTTCAGGCAAGGGTTGGGATCCTGTTGACATCATCATGTTGATATGTTTCAGGCAAGGCTTGGGGTTCTGTTGACACCATCGTGTTGATATGTTTCAGGCAAGGCTTGGGGTCCTGTTGACACCATCATGTTGATATGTTTCAGGCAAGGCTTGGGATCCTGTTGACACCATCGTGTTGACATGTTTCAGGCAGGGCTTGGGGTCCTGTTGACGCCATCATGTTGACATGTTTCAGGCAAGGCTTGGGGTCCTGTTGACACCATCGTGTTGACATGTTTCAGGCAAGGCTTGGGGTCCTGTTGACACCATCATGTTGATATGTTTCAGGCAGGGCTTGGGGTCCTGTTGACACCATCGTGTTAACATGTTTCAGGCAAGGCTTGGGGTCCTGTTGACACCATCGTGTTGACATGTTTCAGGCAGGGCTTGGGGTCCTGTTGACACCATCGTTTTGATATGTTTCAGGCAAGGCTTTCCGTGACATGTTCATGAGGACACTTGCACTGGAGCAGCCTGACATCAGGGTGCTGAACTATGCCCCTGGTCCTGTTGACACCAATATGTTTCATAAAGAGGGTATCCAGGAGACAAAAGCTGAAGACCATCTGGAAGCTTTAAGAGGTATATAGTCAATAATGGACGAGGATTTCACTATTCTGCCTCATCAACTCATGCTAGTTCATATACAAAGTTTGGCCAAGAAGACTCCAAATGTATTGGTAGAAGCTGTAACAAACATACTGTAACAATTTCAGTTGTCTAGAAACTTCTGTGATTTCTTTTTCTTCTACTTCATGAATGTATTATCCTTGCCATGTAACACCATCAAGTGTGCCTCTGTAGTATTGTGAATAGTGTGTCCCACATGATAGATGAAGATCAGTGGTTGGTTGCTTCACGATGAAAGAGATTATCAGAATGTACATGTTTTAACCCTCCAGTGGTGGTCAGTATGAAGGGGTTAAAGTAGGATCATTGGACAAGGGGGCAATATACTCTGTCTCCTGGGGATATCTATGTTAAACTGCAGCGAAGTATCACTAGTGTAATACCGCTAGACGTATGACGTCACAATGTTAATACCTCGGTCACAATGGTATTATACCTTGCTTGACTCGTGCAAAGCTGAGAGTCATCACACTGTAGGCAGTTTCTATCAATTTATGTTGGAGAGTAATCAACAGAATACTGAACTCTCTTCGTGAACTACTATTTTAATTAAACTTGTGAAAGATTTAGTATCAAACTTACTTTCGCTCGTTTGATACCAAATCATTAACTCATTCATTACAAAGGTCATTCAGTATCTTCTATATATTTAGATTTGAGAAGGCTAAACAGTCAAAATAGATGGAAAATATAAATCGACTGTCCAAACATACTAGATCTCATCCTTACTATCTGGGCAACAACTCAAATGGAATTTATACCAATAGGATGCCAAGTTATTTTTCTAAAGCACATTTTCAGAAAGTTGAAAAAGTGAAAGTTTTATATTGGGTCTATATATGCAGAGATATAGCTTATGGAATTGTGTACCTTATGGAGTAGTGAGTGAGTTGGGTTTTACTCCGCTTTTAGCAATATTTCAGCAATGTCACGGCGGGGAACACCAGAAATGGGCTTTACACATTGTACCCATGTGGGGAATCGAACCCGGGTCTTCGGCGTGACGAGCGAACGCCTTAACCACTAGGCTACCCCACCCGCCCCTCTTATGGAGTAGAACAGTAACTGTTAAACCAATCAGAAAAAGAGACATTGTAAAGTGTTATTCAAGATTTTGTTTTGCTTAATGCAAATTTGCATAGAAAAATACTTTGCTGCAAAATGTGCTATTTAACAGCTCTACAGAGACTCTGAGCAAACAAAATTACTGCCTGAATATCAGCTCAAGTGGCAATGCTACAGGAGTAGAGAGGTTTGTAAATGTCCTGAACTGTCTGCACACTGCTGTGCCATGAAGATCTGGGTTAGAATTGATCTTGGGATACTAGACCGCCTCAGTGGTGTAGTGGTTAGGGCGTCCGCCCGGAGAGAGGAAGGTCGCGGGTTCGATCCCCAACCGTGTCATACCAAAAGACGTTAAAATATTGGTCCCCGCCTGGCACTCGGCATTAATGGGTACAACAAGGACTGGTCTGCTCGGGAGTCAGTATAATGTGTCTGAGTGGGGTATTCATGCTTCACTGCGGCATGGTATTTCAGTGGGCTAGTGCTATAAACCCGCTTAAGTCTGGGCTAGTACAAGCAGCCGCACATACACATACACACGCATGCACGTCATCATATGAGCGAAATATTCTCAAGCACGACTTTAAACCCAATTTCACCTCACCTTGGGATACTATGACATGCATCAACCCAGTCATTGAGCCTCACTGATCCCCGTCGTCGTCTCGTACGACAAGCATGGGTTGCTGAAGACGAATTCTAACCCGGATCTTGGCATCAATTTGGTGTCTGTTCTAAAACATGCTGAACAATGTTCGGGTTATTGGCATCATTTGCTTACTGGTGATTTGATAAATCACTTGGCTTCCAGATCAGTTTAGGCATTGTGTAAGCCTTAGCTGTGGTTAAATGAAAGTGGTATTATAAGGACCTGATAGCAAATAACAAAAAAATGATGGTTTGATTTTTTTTCAGATACAAACATTGTAACGTTAAACATTATTTAGGGACAGCTATTGCAATGAGAACAGTTATGCTGAAAAAAATATATGTTTTCTCAATGAAGGACTGAAGCCAGTGCCTTGTGGACAGAGTGCTTGCAGCCAACCAAAGATATCAAGAGTTTTGTGCTGTCTTTACTTTTTAATGTTTCTACTCTGTTCTGTGTACTATTTGTTTGGTATCCTCCTGGTTTGAAAATATTGGGGAATATAGAACTCAGCCTGCCAGTCTATCTTCTTTCAGTTTCTGGGGCAGAACTCTTAAACCATTGATTATATCTTGTTGAAACATGCTATCCTGATAAGTGGTGAATATTTTTTTATGTTTTTTCCATGTGGTTTAAAAAATGGAGGAAACATTAAATAGCAATCAGCAGTCTGCTGTCCACTGGTCTGTCTGCCATCCATTTTCTTTTTCCAGAGAAGAACTCCTCAACCTCTGAATATTTCTTGCGTAAATGGATAGTTAAATTTGACTTGACTAGATGATCCCTTTCCCGTTTTCCAGCCTAAGCCTGCATGATTTACCTGGCAGTCGCCTAGACGCTACTTTTCGGTGACTACAATATGTATTACCGAGACCATGTAGGCATGTAAGTCTGAATATGTTCCCAGTATCCCTTGATTACCAGATCAAAGGGTGGCACCCCATTAGTCATACGACCCATTTGTTATACGCCTTAAATAAACACGTCATGGTTCATTGCTTTTTCTTATGAACTCTTAGTACCTCTGCAGGTAATGGAAAGACTCATATGAAACGACCACAAAAAGAACATTTACCAAGCAGATTTTATTTATATTTATAACAAGTATAAATATATAAACCATTTCTTCATTACTTCTGATATTACATAAGGGAAAATCTGGACTTTTCTCTTATTTTACACCATAGTCAGTCAGCTTCACTACCTAGATCTCTGTTAGATACAGATATCCTGAACGTGTCCACTAGTTCGTCCTGGTACAGGGTCGGTATTGGAGTACTCTCCTCTCTAGCTCGCTTCCTGATGTTACTGATGAACTTCACTGCGTCTTGATCCTGAGGGCCGTGGCTGTGTGCAGTGCTGCTGTGGACGTAGTTGCAGGTGGTTGTCACTCTGCCTCCACAGCCCTTCGAATTCATGATGCACAGCCAGACAGATAGATTGTTTATTAAAGTCGCACCTCAACATAAAATAGATACAGTACAAAAAAGCAATAAAAGTTGAGCCACTCCAACAAGCAGTTATGAGAGACTAAGTTCTGTTAAATGTACACAAAGATAAAATATTATTGTATAAAACGATACATGTTATGATAAATAAATATAATCAATTAAAATATAAAGTTGAATTAGGTATTTCATGAACAGACATTAGTATCATAAGCTAAGAAATAATTAAATGGCATGTTTTGGCAGCAATAAAACATACATTAGGGCTGGATAAGATATGATATAACTTTTGATTGTCATTAGAACCATTAAAGTTATCACATTCATCATTACATTTGTTAATTAAAATAGACCATTCATTCATATACGCCGCCATATAGCTGGAATATTGCTGAGTGCGGCGTAAAACTAAACTCATTCACTCACTCACTCACTCACTCACTCATTCATATACAATGGACATTTCAGTAAAACATGGCACTCATCTTCCACCTCATCCTTACAATATATACAAACTCTCTCATTGTGCCATTAGTGCCACAACACATCTAAAATTAGCTACAGCTCTTCAGTGTTACCTGGGGTGGTAAATTTTACATAGTGTGCAACATTAAAATTACAATACAATCTTAACTTATTCCTCCTATACCCGTAGGACTAAAAGGCTGTGATATTTCCAGTTCCAGCCAGTGAATACAGTGTTCCTTTGCTGAGTTTTTGTTTGGAAGATGACCTTGAAACAAAACCTATTGTTTGCCTTGCCTTGATGTCACATACTCTTCAACATGAGTAAACTCAAAGTTTAAATAAATAAAGTATTTAATTAAATCTGCATAAATGTTCGTATAGGAAATAGAACTATATTCCTACCCCATTTTTCTAAGCTCATTTTGAAAACAATCGGTATGCAGAGTAGACGAATTGACTTATGTTTGACTGTCAGCTGGATCTCCCACAAGAAAAGTGGACGAGTCTATTGTATCGTAGGAAGCTGGACCCTTGCTGTACATGTTTTAATTGATCCAGTCCATTTCGTATGACTAGTGGTCATATGAGAAATGGCGTATGACTTATGGGCTACAACCAATCAAAGTAGACTGTAATATGGTCAGTTTCTCATGTCGATTTGACTTGTTGATCATGCTATATTAGACTTGTTGATCATGCTATATTTGAAAGACTGGTTTGCACAGATGTTATAGTATGACCAGAAATTATTGAGAATTTTAGGAATATGTTTAATTGGATTTCTAGTATAAACAACCTTGACCAGCTATCAAGTGCTTGGTTTCATTCAAGAGAGACAACTCTGTTAATCCTTTTTCATTAGTTTGTGAAGAGTTATCCCCCTTTGTTTACTTGCTAGCAGACGACATGTTTAGTGATCCTCAGTATGGATGATTTAGAGAAGAGGAAGTTGATTTTAGAGTATTATAACAAGGACATCAGATCAGCTAAAGTGATTTCAAGTAGAACAGGCATCCCTTTGTCCACTGTTTATGGTGTTTTGAAAAATATTGGATATGCGCCAGTAGAGGCCCTTCACATTATGTTAGTTGCCAGCAGTTGTTGGGAAAACCCTTTTGAGTGACAACCTCGTGTTTCCGGTTGTTCCCCCCCGGCAATTGTTGTTTTGACTATCACAGAGTAAAGTGTGTTTACCTACGCTAGTTTTCGGTAGTTGTCACTCACAGGCGTGGTGGCAGCGGTTTCAAGAGCCCTAACGAAGCTTCCTACCAACTAAATGACCATTTGTCAGTTACTTTCACACATAGGTGAGCGATCGATCA